AAACAATGAGAGTGAAGCAGGAATACAAAGCAGGAAAATAAGAACTCTACAAGGGCTACAATAATGCCTCTTATTTTCTTCAAAATAGCTCCTAATTCCATCCAATGTAATCAAATCAAGCAAAACAAAACAGAGTCAAGGTGAACAAAATAAATCAGGGAATTCAGAACTTTTAAACATGATGATAAGAAATCAACAGATTACAATAAAATATACATTATCTCCAAAAAGCTGCATTTACCATTAGACATAATAAAATCAAACAGAAGAAAACAACATGTAAAAATTCAATCAGAAAAAGCAATGTAAACGATACAGGATTTTAAAACAAGATGTTAGGAAATAAAAAACTTTCCTCCCAGAGTTCCTTTTTAAGACTTTTCCTCCCTCTCACTTTCACAGTATGAGTTGTGCATTTTTTCTTCCACTAATTTATTTAGTTTTTATACAGTGGAAACAACACAGTGTTTATCCTTTTCAGTCTGAATCATTTAACCCAACAGAATGATCTCAAGTTTAATTCATTCATCTGTATGAACCTCTAGATTATCTCTCTTCATAGCTGAGTAGCTTTCTATTGTATCAAAATACCATACCTTTCTTATCAATTCTATCATTTATTGGCAAGCTACTCATGATCTTTTCTGCTTCCCTGTCTCATAGAGAATCATTTTCTGTGTTTTGAATTCAGCCTGTCAATTTTCTTTTAAGTTAAATGTGTTCTTTGTGTACAGCATATTGATGAATCTTCTTTCTTGCTCCACTGTGCCTGTTTCTTTTTATTGGTGAATTGAATCCATATACATTAATACTTACCATTGGCATGCACTGGGTCATTAATGCCATGTTATTTTCCTGCCTGTGGCTTGCTAATTTTTTCCTCTGTTCAAATTCAAGCCCTTCCTAATGATCTCCTTCTGCTGCTGTTCCAGGAAATGAAGTCATTTAGTTATTTTCTCTAGAATGTCCTTCAGTACTCTTTGTAGGGTTGGTTTGCTGGTGATGAATTCCTTCAATTGCTCTTTAGCATGGAAGTATCTTATGTCTCCATTAATTTTGAAAGATATTTTTCAGGCTACTTCAATATGAGTTGGAAGTTGTTTACTTTCAGGATTTGAAACACTATACTCCAAACAGTTCTTGACCTGATGGTTTGTGTTGAGAAATCTACCATGATTCTAATGAGTTTCTATAATAGGTGATCTTTTTCTTTTCTCTAACAGCTGGCAATATTCTATTGTTGTGTTGAGTGTCCAAAATTTTGATTATTATGTTTTAGTGTAGATTTATTATGGTTATGATTGATTGGAATTCTATATGCCTCAATTATTTGAATGTCAGATCCTTTATACATGCTTGGTAAGATTTCTGCTATTGTTTCTATAGATAGCCCTTTTATGTCACTTATGCTGACTCTTCCCTTTTTGCTACACAAATCAGTTTTAAATCTTTTTTGTTGCAGACATTCGATTGTTATTTTTTGTTACATTTAAGAGAACTTTCCTGCTCCTTACACCAGCTGAAACAATGTCTTCACGTTCTGAAAGTTTAGCTTCAGTTTCTTTGAACTAGTTTTGTGAGTATTCAATGGAGTTTTAGCTTATGTATATCTCTTTGAGTTTGTTTCATACACTGTAATTCCTTCTTCAATTGTTTCAAGATTTCAATCATTTTTCCATGTTCATCTTCTTTAAATCTAAGTCTTCTTTCGATATGCTCAGCATTTTTTTCCTTATATCTGTCATTTCTTCTTTTACTTGAGATATTATTTCTCAGTTGATTGTTCTTGAAATCTCATGAAATTGATTCTTTGCTTCAGTTACTGTCCCTGAGAAAGTTCACAGGTGTGGCTTTCAGCATATTCAATGTCAGTGTCTCCCATACTTTTTTCTATATGTGCTGGAGATCTGAGAGAACATTTGCTCATTCATTTTCAGATGAAATACTTTTGTGCTCCTAAGCATGTCCTAAATTGGTTGCCCTTTTGTAGTGTGGGAAATGGTCTAGGCTCCTGAGTTTCTCTGAACCCGGGTTCCTGGAGAGGCAGAGGCACTGGGCAGGCTTTTCAAGATGGGAGCAGCTTCACTGGTGGCTGCTTGATTGCTACTGTCACACAAGGGCAGGAATTCTTTTTCTCCTGGGCTATGTAGCTACACTGGGACTCCCCTGATGGCAGCAGGTGTTCAGGGTCATGTCTATGTGTTTCCTCCATTCTCCAGGAAGCAAGAATCCCCAAAGACAGTAAGCAGGGTGTTTCTCACAGCTTCACTCAGCATGCACTGATTATCTGTGTGAAGTAGGCATTCCTAATGGTGACTGGGATGGGAGCATATTGGGCATGTCAAAGACTTAACAGTTTGTATCAGAAGTATTCATGTATGTGGAAAAAGAAAATTTAGAAAAGTCAAAAATTTCTAGATCTGTTATAGATAATGTATTATTTTATAATACATAAATGTATTAAATGAACTTGACACAATTATAATAAGAAAATCATTTCCTCTAATTGATACTTATGTGGATTTAACATTTGTTTGTATTTCAGTTTTGGAGAATTGCATTGCTTTTTTTATTCTGGCTGCCACCAGGAATGAGGATAGGATGTGTTTTCCTTACAGGATGTTTCTTTCCATAGCTGCGAAATTCAGGAATGCATCTCCAATGATGAGAGACCCAACACGCCTCTGCCTCTTTCCACCTTTGAGTGTAAGTGCTGATTGCACACTGAAGCAGAAAGTAGAGGCCACTGAATGTTGACGTGGGGCTCATATCTACAGGATTTTGTCTTGAGTCTCAAGTCAGACTCCCAACATAAACATTTGAGCAAAAGTTAAAGTGTTTCGATATTGTGACTACTGAAGAAGTGTAAATATCTTTTGCATCATGGGATGGTTTGAGTGTCATTAAAGTTTATTTTAATAACTGGTGTATTGAAGGCATGGTACTCATGTTGAGAATATTAGAATGTAGTGATAACTTTGAAACAAGTGAACTAGACAAAATGCTATGAACCATGTGGCCCTTGAGCTTCCTTGCCTAAGGACTGGAAGAGGATTAGAAAACAATTAAGAGACAAATTTAGAGTTAGGTGGAGTGCTTATCCTCCTGCCATGAGGACAAGAACTAGTCCCTCACTGTGGGAGTGTTTATCTACATCAGTTAGCAACTTAATGTTACATGACACACTATTTTCCCAGAAATCCACAGTTCATATTGTCTTGGAGTTATGTGTTCTGTGGGATGAAGCATCTGTTTTCACGTGGCTTGTCCTGAGCACACTTTGTTGTTGGGAAGATCATGCTCCAGCCTTGTACATGTTGTCAATTTACAGCTTCAATGTCTCCCAATATATGCGTCTCTTTTGTTCTGTTGTTGTACAGAATGAGTCGTCTGTTGAAGCTGGACATCATAAATCTTGTACAGTCCATTAATTCATAAAAATATACATTTCCTAGTGTAGCCAACAATTCGCAGAAGGTATGATTTGATAATTTTTTATATTCTTATTACATGGTATTATTCTCTTGAAGGTGTACTTTTCTGCAGGATGTTCAAGACCAAGTTAAGGTGAGACCTATATTAAATTTTATTGGTCTCTTACTATTTGTCACATTCAGTTAATTATCTCAAGGATTATCTTGTAACCATGCACACCATCTCTTAGCTCTCTTTGCAGTGTCATCCATCTGGACAAGTCATTGCTTGACCAAGCTGCTTTATATAAAATCTTGAGAGGTTGTCTTCTTTGGTGACTTTACTTAGGCACATCACATCAATGATTACTTTACTCTATGGTCCCCAAATATTCTTAACCAGAAGATCAGGTCCCACTGATTATAGGGTGGTGTAGCAGAGGTTTTCTTCTGTACTGGGTCCTCATTGACTTTGGTGAGTGAAGACCAAAATATTAATTAGCTTCCTAGTTAATTTATCTCTCTAAATTTTGGTCTCTGAACCTCAGTTGTTGAACATCCATAATAAAACATTGATAACAGCACAGTGGAGGAGAGGCAGTCAGTTTAACATAACTATTTTGTTCTGAATAGAAAGCATCTTAGAGCATTAAATAAAACTTTTATTTACTATTAACCATGAATGTTTTAACCTTTGAATACCCATAGAATGTTAATTCCATATTTATGCAGAAAATTAGAAATTTAAATCATACCTAATACTATAGCCTGAGAATATTGATGATATTTGGTAACATACTGGAATTTGTGTTTTTGACATAAGATATCCCTTTTTGGGTTAATCCTGCCTGTCTAATACATAAGAAGATTTTACCTAACTTTATTACTTTTAGTGAGATGTACTTTTAGTAAACATTTTTTGAATGCAAAGATTTGGATCTGAAATAAAATTATGTCATCATACAAATCTCTGTTTTACATTTTTGAAAACCTGTACATCTGGAAGCATGAATGCATGAGTACAACATGAGATTAATAACAATCTTTCCTCATAACTACAATTTAAAATAAAAGTTTATTGTATTAATTTTCTGTTAATGACAAACATGATTAAAATAATGATTTTTATAACTTTAGTTTGAGTGTATCCCTTAAGGCTATGAGATAATCTGGACCTCTGATGAATATACAAGTCTTGGTTAAAAATGTTACCAGGCAGCTGATTTATTATTCATTAAGTCCTGTCCAATAATCTCAATGCTAATGGATTTTCCTTTCTCATCTTAATAATTTTTGATGACTTATGAAAAATTCAATCATAACATCTAACCCATTAAGTTTTAAACTATAAGAGATGCTCATCAACAATAAATAACGATATATATTACATTTGCATAGCCAAACTTTGTATTATTTGGACCAGCTGAAATTCCTTCTGGCATTTGAACTAGCTGGCAACTTATGTGGAAACAATGCTTTGTAAATCTATAACGTTAATGCTGGGATCAAGTGATCCAAATAGGCAAAAGGTGAAGAGAAAAATCATTTAGCTCAAAATAAAATGAGTGTCCACAGAACTGAAAATCTGTGCTTGCTTCAGCAGCACATATACTAAAATTGGAATGATGCAGAGAATATAATCATGGGTGCTGCACCAGGATGACACGCAGCATGATCCATGGACAAACATAGACAAGGGAATCTGTACATATTGGAACAGACAGAGAAACAAGCCCATGACATGTTGGTGTCCATGAGAATTCTCTAAGTTCTCTATCACACAGCCTTGCTGAACTAACTTGCTTCTTACACCTCATGTTCTCAAGGCAGGAACACCTGTTCACTTCCAGCACCTCTCAGCATTTTTCTCAGCATTTCTCAGGTGCTCTGTACCACTTGAGCACTTCTCTATGGGCACTTATCCTTTTATCACTACACCTGTGAAAGATCAATAGTTCAGTTGGTGTTGTACTCTAAGAAAATAGCTTCATTATATGTGTATTATAACAAAACCTAAAACACGGCTTATGTATGTGTTTTCCTTTTCCCTTTTGATGACCTAATTGATATGTTAAGCAATTCTCTCCTCTGTAAAGAATTGTAAAACCTTACCTAATTGATATGTTAACCATTGTTGCCCTCTACATAACAGAAGTGGTGCTAAAACAAGCTAACAAGTGTCGTTAATCACTATTAGGCGCCTCTATTCTCCACTAAAGAGCTAAAGAAAACTAGGATGGCCCTCTAATTTACACTTGTTTGAAGTAACTTGCTTGTGTGCAGGGAGATTTGCTTATTAGCATAACCCTTTACCTGACCTTGATCCCCCTCCCCAGAAAGAAAGAAAAACATAACTACCATTTTCTGTTCTGTATTGCACCTTATTGCCTCCCCTCTCCCCTTACCTATCTATCTAGGCTAGGCCATAAAGATTTTGGGTTTCTGGTGGCCTCTTCCTGACTTGGTGGTGGTCTGTCATAAAATGTGCCTTAGCTTCAGAGAAATTATAGGAAAATGTTGTAGATTAACCCTAATGCACCAAAAGGGTTAAGTTCCAAATCCTTGTGAAGGCTTAAGTTTCAGCTTCTTGTAACTTTCAACCACTTCCCACCTGTTAGTGTTAACGAGCTGTCCTGAGATAATTAGCTTTCTACTTTCTTCTCCAAATGCTATTGCAGATAATTCTTACCTGCAGGATGGGAGTAACTCAAAAGGCGCCAAAGGCTCCCAAGTTTGTCAGAACTAAGTGGACAGCTATAGTTTCCAGATTCGGGTCAACAAGTTTGATGGCTCTGCAGGTTTCTTTGTTTCTCCCCTCCCCTTTTTCTCCAACCTCTTTTTAAAGTCCTCCCTTCAGTCTCTGGCACGCAGTCTCCAAATTGGCTCCTGGAGACTTGTTACCAGGCCTGGTCTAATAAAGCCTTTGCTCCCCAAATTTCAGTCTCTTGCTTCCTTGGATCTTATACTGGGGTCTGAGTTATTACATTGGCTCTAAAAAACTGCTTACAAACAGACAAAGAGACACACAATTAGATTGACAAACACCTTACAAAATCAGAATGCACTCAAATATATTATTAGCCCAAATGAATTACAATTTTTCTTTTACAAATTTAGAATTTATATCTATAGATTGATTGGTCAGATTTTTTTGTAGGTTATTAGCAGTGATCTTGTATAAAAGAATTTAGGAAAGACAAAATTTTATCTATAATTAATATATGATTTTGTATTTTATCTTAACAGTACTAGTAACATTTTATGTCCCCTTCTTTCACTAAACTTTCAGTTTGTTATCTCTATATACTCTAACAGTCTACTTAACCCTTGGTTGTTATTTTTGATAACCTTCTCCTGGGAATCCTGTGTCAGTTATTTCACTTGTCTCAGGTCTGGTCTAATACATACTTTTTCATCAGTTGTGAGATGGTTTCTGAGGCATCGCTGTCATCGGACTGAGTATCAGCTTCTTGAGAAGTGGAATCAACTGCCTTTCTGGGTTTGTTTCCATTTTACAGCTGAAAAGCATGCTATGGTATATAGATAGGCTGATAAGCATTCTCTAGAAAAATGCAAGCGCAACTTGTAGCCTGAATAAATCATGGGCTGGGACCTTTCCGTTTTCCAGTATAAATATTATTCCGAAGGATTCTTTTTAACACTTTATTCTTTACATGATTTTAACCCTTTATTCTTCTGCTGTGTAATTACATCTACAGTAGAATTTAGAAAGTTAACAATATATATTGCCACATGCAATCTATTATGAGGTGTAACTTGTGTACAAAAAGCTTCACCTTTTGTTTTTGTGTAATGGAATCTTGAGCTTACAGTGATCATACTCAAATATTCCTGACCTTGAGAATTATAGGGAATTCCTGTGTTAAGGGAAACATGAAAAGTTTTAGAAAATATTTGGAAAAAATCACTCATATAGGTAGGAATATTGTCAATCTTAAGTGCCCATGGGCAGGCTAGGGCACTAAAGGCATCCAAGAATTGAGGAATGGCATGTTAAGCTGCTTACTTAGTGCAAGAAACAGCAAAGATAAATCCTAGAAAGTGTTCACTGAAACATAGACCCAGCATAGAGACTCAAACTCAGAATTGTGAATGACATTCATCTGCCAGAGATGGTTGACATGTAACCCTCAGCGATTAACACCATGGGAAATGAGGGAAGATGTATTACACCTGAGGGGCATTGTTTAACAATTTTTTGAGCCTGTTCTCAGGTTAAATGGTACTATTTGCTCAAGGCAGAAGTGTTTTGGTGCAATGTGGCATGGGAGGCAGAAACCTGTTGAATGGCATCTGAGGGAACCACTGTAACAATAACCAACATTCTGTCCATTGCATTTTTTGACTTGCTGAGAGGCACAGGTAATTGAGAATGGGAACTGAAATGGCCAGTAAAACATTGTTAGACTGAATGGCGAGTTGGACTGTGGGAAAAAGTGAAAGAGGTCTTCTTGACTAGTATGTATGGAAGTTTTAATGTTGCACATAGCACTACAGACAGAGATTACATTTGAAAACAGGTTAATTGAAGTGGGTGAATAATCTTGCAAGTCCCAAATGAGAGCTCAGAATTAAATATGTGTGTAGAAGCCTGATGGAGTGAAAACATAGCCACAGCCACAAACCCCTCACATAAAGTCAGACTATTTGCCATTCTTTATGACAGACGACAGCTTTGGAAATGCAACATAGGGACCTGATGATTAATAGAAGAAAAGTAATAGCAAAACGTTTCTTATTCTGAGGCTGACAGAAGGGAGTAAAAACTCAGGCTTTTAAATCAATCACCATTAGAGAAAATTGCTAAGAAATAGCTATGGAACTGGGTGATGCTGTTTGAAGTGCTACCATAGATTCCATGGCTTTATTAACAGCCTGTGAATCTTATAATAATCATGAATTTCCTGAATTGGTTTTATTACAAAAATTGGGGCATTACAAGTAGTATTAGAGGGGTCTAGATGTCTTGCCATTATCTGTCCATTAACCATTATATGAGCTGCTACAAGCTCCTCTTGATTGAGGGGCCACTAATCAACACAAACAATGTCATCAGACTCCAATTTATCTTGGATACCATCGGTGGGGTCAGAGAAGTGATCAAGACCCCTCCCTTAAATGTGATGGTGTCTATCCTAGGCCAAAATGGTCCCTTTTGTGGTTTATTGGAAGGGAATCTTTCCCTACTTGATTGCTTTTATGAAGGACTTGAATGGGTGAGGGGTCTTGTTGTAACATATGCTGTCACTCAAAAGTTAGGGCCAACCAGAAATGCCCCATATTCTGTAATACTTCACAACCCCATGAATTGATTGGTATGGTATTTGGGGCAGGACATAAGGAGAAAAATGTACAGAATGACCCACATGCATCCAGGTTAACAATTTAGCTTATCAACTATTGTCAGAACTATTGCCCACAGCCTGTAGAACTGCAGTTGCCACACCTAGAGTTTATTCCACTGGCCAGTGCTGTTGGACAATAACAGAAACATCTGCTTCTTTATCTGAAAGCCCTTGAATGCTTTTCCTTCAGTGATCAGTTCCATCTCAGGGTGAGCCTGCTTGATTTGTGGAGTTCAATAAGTATTGAAAGAACCAAAGCCTGTCACGATTTATAGATTTTCCAATTTTTGTCAATCAAAGAATAAACAATTGATAAACATGAGAATTTGAAGTAATTTGTACAGTGATTTGAGTAGATTGAGCCATAATCTGGATTTTCACAAGTAATTTGTACAGTGATTTGAGTAGATTGAGCCATAACCTTGATTTTCATACAGTCAGCATGGATAACACCTGGTAAAATCTAGAGACCTTTTAATGTTAGATTGCAATGACCTAATAGTAGACACTAGTCTTTGAAGCAAAGGCTTATAGAATCCAATAGGAAAAACTTAAGGTCCAATTTCAGGAGTTAGTATGAATAGAGGAAGAACTGAGGTCCAAGCCTCTGCTATCTTTGTTGCTCATCAGAGGTCAGAAATGTGCTTGGTGACAGAGGGTGAGATTTGGGATGAATTGAATGAAGCACACCCCCCCCCATTGTTTGGTGGGGATCAGGCAGTCCCAATTAGAAGTTTCTTGAAATAGCCTGGCCATCTACATCAGTTTTTGTTCTACAATTACTTTCTCAATGGTGTTCTTGTCAATACCTTGCACAAATATGAGAAGGTTTCATAGAAGACACAGATAATGGCTGTGCTGTCTCCACAGTTGCAGCAGTTGAACATTTTCTAGCAAGATGCCCTTCCCTTCTGCTCTGAAAACAAGTAGCCTTGTGTTTTACCTTTACTCTGGGCTGTGGTTTAATGACCTGAATGATAGTTGCTGTCAAAGCAGTCCCATGTGTATATGAGGGGCCAATATCTGCACAAACTGAATCATCTCAGCATAGCAATGATTTGTGGTCTTCTAAAACATCTTTTTATCATTCATTTGAATTTCAAAGCCAATATTTGAACTACAAATTTATTTACTTTATTGTCACTTATAATTCTCTTGCTAGCTTGCAATAAAAGTGCAGCACAACCCTGAAATTTTTCATTTGGATGCTGGGAAATAGAAGTTATATCCAAGGAGATCTCACCCATTGTCTTAGTTACATTTTACTCATCACTGAGACAAAATACCTTACACCCAAAGTTAGGGAATGAAAGGTTTATTTCTTA